CCTGGACTCTCAGCCTTTATTCCTAACCCCAGGTCTCCTGGAGAATTTTGCCCCATCTCTTACATTAGTTACTCTGAGGCTGGATTTTCTGAAGACTTTCAAACACTGGTGCCTCCTGTGCTTTCCCTTCTCCCGTCCACCGCTGCCTCATTAACAAAACCACCAAAACACAGCACCTCCATATCCCCTCCCTCCACCCCAGAAATCCCAAAGCCAACCACATACATGTGTACACAGTTGAGGTGGCTTACGTATTACTGTTTCGGAGTTTCTTGGTTTGGGAAGAATCCTTATGGTGGATTTCCACAGCACTGGTTACTGTTTGTGGCTCTTGGGACTTTTTGGGTCAGCATGCTTGCTTCGAAGTATGAGCTTTTCTAACTGTAGTCAGTGGATCCAAATCCTAATTATGACTGCAGTAGGATCTTGTGCCTGTTAAAAGCAAAACAGTAATGCCGTAGGGCTTTTTCTTAATGCTCGGGCAGATATGAAACCAAAGTTAGACATCACTAATGATAAATGCTAAGTAAAATAAAAGCCACTTAATTGCTTTCTCCCAGAACTTACATTGACTGCTATGGTCTCTAAGTAGGGCTTATTTCATAAGAAAACTTGACGTTTGGCACCTTTATTTCTTCTCCAGACTCTTACTACTTGTACTCAGACAAATTGAGGAGTGTTTGCATTTTGCTGTGTCTGTAGCAAAACCATATCCTCTCTCTGTTTTGCTATTAAGTGCATGATCCTGTGAGTGTATTAGCATTGAGGAGACAAAAATAAGAGGGAGAACAGGTACATCTCGGAAGGGAAGGTATGCTTTTCTTCCTTAGGACAGAACAGGACACCTGTAAGAAACGTGATTACTGGGGCCTTTTGATATCAGGAAACGTAAAATTCTATGAAGAAAACCCCTTGTCAAAAAGTGACAGAAGAAATCAGTTGGTACAAATAAAACTCTTCCTGGGTAGGGGAAACCCCCCAAAAACTTTCTTCCTTTTGACTTGCATTCTTGGAGGACTGAAAGCGCAGGAGGATTTCCCATACCTTAATAGGTAAAACATTTTGCAGTACAGAATTCATGTGTAATGGGGTTTTGGAAAAGAGCTGAGAAGTTATTGAATGAAAAATGACTGAGGAGTTAAGTATTTAAACAAAACAATCTGAAATACGATCTCAGTTAGTGTAGTGAGTAGGTTTGGTAGATTTTAAAGAATTTTGTGCCCTTAATGTGAGGCTATGAGACCTTAGTTAGAAGTTTTCTCGTGAAGCCACATGGTTACACCTCTAGAAGTCCATCTAAGAAATCAAAGTCACTGTAACCTTAAAATTAGGTAGGCAGGCATGTGTGTATGTATATTAATACTGCTTTGGTGGAAAAGCAAATACTTGAAAGCTATGCTAGAAATGTTAAGAGTAGCAAATAATTCTCGAGTTGCAGAGACCCTTCCATTCATGTCTGTGGCTTCTTGCAAGAAGCCACAAAGTGGCTGTGAGTTTCTCTTCATTCCTGTGCATATTTTTAGAAATGAAGGACTAGACCGTAGATTAAGAAGAAACTTGTATTCAGGATGTGTGTGGTGTAGAGAACATATTTTCATTATAGAGTAAGCATTGGCTAGTAGGGGAAAAAAAAAGTTGGAGATTATTTAATCCCATTACAAGAAAGTTTCGATGAAATCTGTATGTGCACTTTAAAAAGAACAAGCAGAACGTGAGAAACAGCAGGGTGGAGGGGTGAAGAGACATGGAAATAGGCAATCAGACGGATGCTCAGAAATGGGATAGCAGGAAGCCAGCACAGTCCAATAGCTATCACTGACAGAGCACCTTGCCACCCGAGCAGCTCTGGATGCTCCTGCTGTGTTCATCGCCTCATAGATGTATTTCTCAGCACAAGCAAAGTTCTGGTAAAGGGCATTATGGTAGTATTAACCAGATGATGTTTCCTAAAGTTCCTGCTGCTTCTGTAGATTACAAGTTTTACTTGTAAAGCTTATTCCTTTCTAGCAAAGACACTTGGGTGGGGAGACAGGCAGGGATTTGCTTGTTTCCCTTCTTCAAGCCTGTGCTGTGAACGACTTCAAAGAGGAGCAGAAGAACCCGAGGCATGCTGTGCGTATGGGGAGGGGTTCTGTAAATAGTCTGAAGTCATTGCCCTCTGTTAGTCAACAAGGTCAAAATAGAGTAAGTGTTAATGCAGCATAACACCAGGACATCTCTATGTTGTGCATATAACGCCATACAAGGAGTAATACTATATATAGGACTCTTGGGCATACTTCTGGTATCAACCTTGGTTTGTATTTAATGGAAATAAAGCAAAAGCTCCTTCCTCTCTTCGGCTGCTCTGTTTTCCTGTGTGGTCCTGCTGGCCTGCTTCAGCCCAGACATGTCACTGTTGTCTTTCAAAGAGTGAGTCACAGTACTGGGAAGAGTCTTTGTGGGGGAACATGACTGCCTGAGCCTATTAAAAGCAGTGTCAGTTTGAAGTCACCTGCTTATAAATAACATGGAGCTTGCCATTGCAGCAGCTGGTTAATAAGTGATTACTCTCAACTGAACAACAACAAAAAAGGGGGGGTGGGTGAGAGAAAAAAAACCTCAACAGTTGTAACCAGAAGGGCAGCTGCTGCTTCTGAAATTAAACACAGCAGTGATCAGTCACACTGACACTTATCTGTGGTTTGGTTTCTCACCCTTCTCACACCTAGTTTTAGAATAATATAAATCCATCCGCTGGTAGAAGGCGCACAAAGGGCTTTGGGCATTTCCTGTACAGCTACTGGAGCTGGTGGTGTGAGGAAGCACCTAGAATTGATGAAGCCCATAGCCAACGGCCTGTGTTCCGCAGGTGATAAAGCAGCTCCGGATCTGACTGCAGATTACTCTTTTTAATATGGAAATCAAGTCTACACATAGATGTTAAATCTAAGTTTCTTGTTTGATGCTTTGTAAAGCAGAAAGAAAATCTGAATACATGCTGCTTAAGGGAGGTTCAAAGTGTGTTTTACTGGTCATTTGGTGTTGTGGGCTGGCATCTTTCCAAGTTTGCTTTTTGTGTGGCTTGCCTCATTTCCTTCCTCTGTTCAGAAGCAAACCTGGCTTCCTACCTATCTGCAGTTGCATAACCCTTTTTTCTTTCTAATACAACTATACATCTTTGCCAACGACCAGAAATGCTTACATGGAAAAAACCTTATTACAGCAAGGTATTTTTAGCTGTCTTAAGCAGAATTTAGTGGGAATAGAGAAAGAGGAAAGAACAGCCAGTACTGAATCATCAGCCAGCTCTTTTTACACTACCAATATGTGCTGCTTGGACCCACCTCTGCTCCATTTGGCACTGGGGTAGTGTTCTGGTCTACTGTTGGTAAATCCATACATCGTATTAAGATAAGACCATTAAAGTACTTTTTGTTAAAAGAACTGTGTGACAGCTAATATTTGACATGGCTAAACAGTATTTTCCCTAGTGGTGAAATTAAGGTCCCCAGAAATATGCAGTGCCCACCACTGGGCAGGGGAGGAGGTAGAGTTATTTTCTAGTTTAGGCTTAGCTGTAGCTTCTTCAGAATCTGATTTCACCCTGACCTTGCTATTAAAGAAAACCGGTTATGGCTAGGGTTGATCTTTTTGATGCTCCATTTATAGCTAAAAAAGTTAGCATGCCAAAATTATGATGTAAGGTGCTCAGCAAAACCAACCAACCTAACACACCCCAAATGTTTAACTTTGGAAAGTAGCACCTTTGCATCTACAGTGCGTGCTCTGTGCCTGTGTTTACATTGTAAATGTAATGCTTCTAAAAGGTAGCCATGACTTTTTGAAGTTGGCAGTGGAGGGAGTTACCAGAAGTTTAGTGTGCTGTCTTAGTGCCTGAAAGCCTGTGTTTTAGTTAGCTTCTACGATTTCGCAAGACTGTCAATTAAGGTTTTGTACTGGACCTGAAGTTCCTAGATGGTGCTGAAAAGATATACTTGAAATGTTAAATATAACTTCCAACTGTATTGTTCCTCTCCATAAATATGGTAGCTATGGTGCCTCTTTTGGTGACAAGAGCAAGTCCAGAATAAATTCAATTATGTGTACAGGGTGGGTTTAGAGAAGCTCCTTTTATAGCTGAAGTAAGAGGTCTCTGGGCTAGACAGAGGAGGAGACAACAGCAGGTCTTAGCTTAGATAGGAAAATAATAGAGCTAAATACTGTGAATTTGAGAACACATCAAAAGCACAGATATACACGACACAGAGCTGAGGGGAGAGAAAAAGCATGGGAACTACACATACCCACTTGCTTGCCAGAGTGGTCACATGGTGAATATGCAGCTAAAAAGGACTAGGAAGAGGATGGAGCCCAGTGAAATACAGCAGTGGCAACTGAGGAACGTGATCCTCAGACATTGCATCAAGTTAGTTCTGACGCATAGCTACAGCTGGGATGTTATGCTAGAAGCTGGTAATACCAAAGTTGACTGGAATTGAGAATGAAGTTCAGAACTCGTCAGCTCTATGTACAGTGTATATAAACATACATATTGATGGTCTTCCTGCTCAGAGCAAGATGGGACCCCCTTTATTTGGAGGACTGTAAATTTGGGTGGTTTTTTTTTTTTTTTTTTTTTTTTTTTTTAATAAGACTTACCTGTAGTTAATGCAGGAGTAAAATTCTGGTTTGACTTCCAAGAGATTCTTTCTAAGCCTTCAGTGGCTCTGGTATTACCAGTACCTTTATCCTGAAAATTTGTCATGTTGGTACAAATGCAGTAAGTACCTGTATGATTGTGTTACGTAGTTTTGTGTAAAACATGATGACCAACACTGGCTATCAAACTCTGCCCTAGCCTACCTGTGAGAGTATAGCTCTTGGAACGTTTGTGGACATTATCATGTCTCTGAACACTAATTTCAACTCCACTCTTTGAGCAGACCCAACACAATGTTACATGTTTACAGCTTCCGTGCTTCCTGCATTTTGTTAACGCCTTTTTCTTTTCCTTTTAGCTTTACCTTCAGGCCAGAATGAAAGGAGACTGGGCAAGGCTTGTACGTCCTACTCTGCAATTTGGTCTCGTTGCTACATCTATCTATGTGGGTCTCTCACGTGTTTCTGATTACAAGCATCATTGGAGTGATGTTTTAACAGGACTCATTCAGGGAGCAGTGGTAGCTGTGCTCATTGTAAGTAATTCCTGAGGGGTGGGGGGGATATGTGTGTGTGTGTGTAAACACTGCTTTTATAAACAGCACCTTAGAATTGCAGGCTCTGTTCAGAGGAAAGCAGGCCTGTCTTCCCAATGCTTTGAAAATTGCTGGAGAGAAGAAACAAATCCTCAGACTGGGTGTAGCAATAGTACTTTGGGGAGCGAGGCAGACTCTGGGCCTGGTCAGTGGCTGTTGTAGCCACTAGACAACATGAAATTGTCCCTGCCCAAGAGCTTTTCAAACAAGCGAGATGGAAGTGGTCAACTGCAAAACTGTGTGGGCGTCTATATAACCATGCCTATATAACCTTTGCTTCCAGACAAATTCTAAATCTCAAGTAAAAAGCAGGGGAGAACTGTGTAGGAGGTAAGCAGGGCAGGGGAAAAAAAAAGGCGTTTAAGAATAAGGACAGCATGAAAGTGCCTGCTTCTGCCAGCTTATACAGCCTGTTTTTTTCAGTCTGATGGGGAAACTAAAACCCTTCTCCATTCCTTGTCTGCATTTTGAGTGCTAAAGGGGTGTTCACAACAACCAGCATGTGAAGCCTCGCTGTACTGATGAGTGAAAAGCTATCCCAAGGAACAGAGAATCAGCTAACATTGGAGCTGCAGGGCTGGCTGACGTAGTGGCAGCAGTTGTGCTGTCACCAGTGTGCCACAGTTGATGCACCCGTGGGAAAGCGCACATCAGAGAGACTTCTGGTTTAAACACATGAGTAATTGAGGTCATACTGAAGAATTCAGTAACCAAGAACTGAGGCTCATGGGGAAGAACCGTGTCCAAGATAAATGGTTTCTCAGCTGAAAGTCAGAAGGGTATGGGTTCAAGACAAAGCTTTAATTGTTGCAAATCTTGAGGCAGCTCTGGGAAGCCCTACATGCTGCATTAGCTGTTATGAAATAAATGGCTGCATGTTGATTAAAACAGAATCCTACCCCTCATTTTCGTACAATCCCATTTTCTAAGAGAAGGAGTGCATGGACCGAGAAACATCAGGGACTGAAGAGCTGAGGGTGCTTTTATTAGGAAAACCAAGTTTAGCGAAGGGTGTTGGGTGACTGAGAGGGTATCTTGGAGATGCTGGGTAATATAAGAGTGAGTAGAATAGGTGGCATTACAGTGAATGGAGTTGAAAAGTGAGGAAATCATTTTAAAAAATAAAAAATCCCAAATCAAACCCTTATCTGAAAGAACTGAAGACTTCCCAAATCAAACCCTTATCTGAAAGAACTGAAAGAACACCTCCAGAAACAGAAAGCTAGGCAAGAACATGCTGGGCCAGTAACTGCACATGGAGCACTAAAGGGAGTTGAGTGAACTCAGCGGTAAGTGGAAGCTGAAACTCGCCTGGCGTGCAGCTGAAGCAGTGTGCTGGGTCACCAGCCAGCCCTCGGTGTGGAACAGTTCTCAGGTTTGCAGTGGAAGGGGAAGAGGTGACGTAGGAAGGGAGGGGATCGTGAGAGAAGGCTTCTAATTTATTGCACTTCATGCAGCACTGTACCCAGCACGTCTGCTAGTGTGCATGACCTGGTGGAGTGGGCAGCGAGGAGAAGCAAGCTGCAGAACTGGACCGAGGCACCTGTCCCGTAGTTGGTAGCTGTGAAGGAAGTGAGGTGGTATGTGCAGACAAACGCAGGAAAGGGTAATGTTGATAGAGTTGGCCATACAGCTGCTGGAGCTGTGGGTGAGACGTATTTGAGAGGGAGCTGCTGTGAACCTTGCCAAGGAGAGGAATCCAAGCTAGGTTCAACCACCTTTTAAAGAAATGCAAGCGAGAGTGACACTCCAGAGAATAACAGTTACTGACTGTTGAAGCCCCTTCCTCAGCTAAAGCACAAGCTCTCCTATTCTGGGCCCTCAGCAAGCGTGTCTTGGTCCTTCATTTAGAGTTGTTCAAACCACGGCTATGGTAAGGAAGCTGTGCCCGATAAGGCAGTTAGAGCAGTTCGTTAGCACACAGGCCTTGACTAGGGCTTAAACCATCAGTGCCTAAGTGGCCAGTGGGAGGGGGGGTAATAGCTGGAGCAAAAGCTATTCAAATACAGATGCCAGAATTTTACATGAGGCTTCCTAGCAATTTTCTGAAGTTTTAAAATGTTTTTTATTAGTTTTGATTGTGGAGTTTACCTTCTGCAAAAGCATTTACCCATTGTTTCAAAGACCTGCAAGTGCAGGAGCTTAATGCTAATTTTGTTCACTTAGGTTGTGTACGTGTCTGACTTCTTCAAAGTGAGAGGATGTACATTTC